GTGTCACAACGCATTCTATTTATTGCCAACGCGCGTGGTCGGCGCCTCTGATTGCGTTTATTTTGTATTTTTATTTTCAAAATGTATCACTAGCTGCGTGTTTTTTTGTTACGTCTCGCAACTGAACGTTCAAGCTGACTTTGTTTTGGCTGTAAGTGATCACAAGAAATTACCATCATGATCAATTGCTCTCAAGATGCCATGCACTTTCAGACATCAACAATTTTACCGAATTTAAAGCAAATCTGTAAAACACTGATCGGCCAAGTTAGAATGTAATCGTCACAGGCGTGCCTGAAAAACAGTTGAATACCTGTACAAATTTCGCAAATTTATTCATTTTCATAAAAATTGCTGCCATTTCACAAAATTTCATTGATATCCAAAAAAAATTAAAAACAACATTTAACCCATTATATCTTGCTTTTGTACCAAATTTAAACCCAATCTTCAAAATCATCTCTATAAAATGGGCAGAACACTGCCAGTCAGCTATTTTGAATTGAATCATGAAGTGCATCAGTAACCCACCATGACTGATGTCAATGTCAAGTTTAAATGGAATCGATCAAGGCATGTCCAAGAAACGGTTGACATGTCCAAATGTTGATTTTTGGCATTTTGGGACAAAAATGGCTGCCAGTCAGTCAAAGGTCAACCAAATCAAAAATAAATCAATGTGCACATGTCTCCCATTGTGACTTGTCTTTGTACCAACTTTGACAAAAATATGTCCAGGTATTTCTGAGAAATGACAACAGACGCACAGACAGAACAAGAAACATAAATCCCTGTTTGGACTACATTCGACGGGACTAATAATTAATGGCTCAACAATACTTGGCAATGTAATAGTACTGTACATGTACATAAAATAAATGATTTTTTAATCAGAGCAGATTGATTTTTCCTCTTACAAATCGTTCTGTGAATCTGTATTGGTATCTTTTTCTTTCCCTCCTCCTATTAGAAATAATGGTTGTATACCCATGGTATTCTTACCTCAGCATTTCTAGTCTTTGATGACTATGGTATAGTTGTGGTTGTGACACTTTCACGCTGTTATCCAATTTCTCAACAAGAAAATTACTGACAGATTGGCATTTATTGAAATCCACAAACTGTATCGTGACTTCCGCGTTCATGTCATACAGACCATCAATACGCTGAATGTTCTTGTAAATGTCAATATCACCCTCCTAAGAACAGATACATACAGTGTATGGTATTAGTACAGTATTCCTGCTACAAGACAAGTGTGAATGATAGATTTTTAGTCATTCATACCTGCATGTATGCATGCATTGATTTATAATACAGTACGCTAGAAAATACAAATATAAACCGAGAGTTGCAGCAAAGTCATTTTTGACATTGTGACCAAATTCACTCAATATTGGGAGACATTGTCAGGGAACCAGCCCAATGAGAGTGCTGGTGACTCAAGAATATTAAAATGAGCAAATAATTCATATATTCATATTAATTAATTAATATATTGATATTCATATATTAATATTCATTAAGTCAAGATATTATTTGTTTATTTTTCAGGTATGAAAGAAGACATTTCACAATAAGATATAGTGCTTCAAAGTAACAAATATTAAAATCATTGTTTTGACTCTTAAAATCTCATCTATTTGTGAGCAAACAAATTTGCTAGTCAGTCTGCAATGTTGCTCACAAACAAGCGACAAAATATTAAAATCATTGTTTTGACTCTTAAAATCTCATCTATTCGTTAGCAAGCAAATTTGCTAGTCAGTTAGCAATGTCGCTCACAAACAAGTGACAAAATATTAAAATCATTGTTTTGAATTCTAAAATCTCATCTATTCCTTAGCAAGCAAATTTGCTAGTTAGTAACCAATGTTGCTCACAAAAAATTGCCCGGGCTTGCTTTCAAAATTGGAACACCACTACAAGAGTTCTTCTCATCAAATACAAGGTGGAAGATACTATTATTTCAAGGTATTAAATACTATAGATTTTTGAAAATTGTTTCTAACAAACAGTATGCCATGTTTGTGTTTTGTTATACATTAAAAAAAACAGTTGTTCCACACGTATAAAACATGTTCCCTGTCTTTTTTTGTTATTACGAATTTATCCTGAAAGTTCTACAAACCATTCCCCCATAAACATCAAGATGGGTGAACATCTTTCAAAAAGACAGAGACACACTAACTAACACTTTTTTTGAGATATTGGTTCATATAGCAAGTTCATTGTTATATAACTACTATTATTATACATCTGTCACCGTGACGCCATAAGTTACAGCGAGCCGTAATTTTGCGTTATTTTACGGGGTATTTCGATCCTATCATATAAGGAAATGCGAATTCCAAATATGGAATGATTATGCACGTAAGCGTCCACTAATAATAAAAACAAACATGGCTGCAATGGGGGTTTGACCAGACTCCACACAAAGAAGTTCGCTGATTCTGTTCTAAAATTTTTGGATTTCGGCATTCCCAATGATGTATCCTTGTAAGGAAAAGATGTACATGTATAATAAGGTTATTACGAGAATACCTCAAAATATGCACTCAGACAGTATGCCACTGCACGTCAGTCGATACTCCAGCT